AGGTGGACCTCAGGTAAGTTGAAGTAGACGACCTCCTAACCACCATTTAAATATTTTGCGAAATTATAGAAACCTGCAATTTGATAAACGGCTTTTTCAGCAAAAAGTTCAAGAATTATACAGATTAGGAAAATCTACAGATACAAATCAATAACGCTTGATGAAGAAGGCCTAAAAACAGTTGCTTTCAAGCACGACTTACAGATGGTAAAAGAAAAAAAAGGAACTTTTGGAGAATTATCCGAGTCTGTTGACCACATTCCACGTTAACACAAATGATCGCCGGAGGTTTGTTAATCTGTATTTCAGCGCTCACGCAGTTCGCCTACAAGTGTACACTACTTCAGACATCATCGTCATCTCTGAGAGACTCTGGAAAGCACTTGGCACCCCCATGCAGCAGGCTTCTCAGTTCACCATAAGTCCGTGCGGCTTCCTTGTACAGTTAATGGGGCAACTGCAATGCTGTGTTTCTTTCCACGGCACCAGAATCACTGCTGTTCTCTACACCACAAAGTCTAATCTACTTGGTCTCGACTGGCCCGTGCTCCGTCTCTGTCTTGCAAGTCAACCGGGCTTCCCCCATGGAGACTATTTCCGTATGCAACCTTGCCTCTTGTCGTGGCAGAAATGAAGTGCCTGGGAAAACTTGGAGTTCTGATACCTGTATCAAACTCTGACTGGGATGTTCCCGTCGGATTAGTTAACAAGCTGAATAGCTCGGTTCGCATCTGAACTGAATTTTCTATCAGATTCAACGCCGCTCTGATGCCGAACTACCGTCCACTGCCTATCTCCGGTGAACTATTCACCCTGCTGGATGGTGGCACTTGCTTTACCAAGTTGGACCTGACTAATGCGTGCTTCCAGATTGAATTCGCTCCAGAGTCGCCCGAATTGTTGGCGATAAACACACACGGCAGTCTGTTCCAGTACACAGCTGGCCTTTGGTGTCAAGAGTACTCCGGCCCTGTTAAAGCAAACAATAAACGCAGTGCTCTCCTAGTACGATTGGGTACCTGAATGACATAATCATCATGGGTCGATGCCCGACTGAGCTACCTGACCAAATGTGCGCAATATCTGAAAGCGTATAGGAATATTACTTCACTTAGCGGGCCGGTAAGTGTCATTTTTTCTTAGAGTCTATCAGGTTCTTAAGATTCATGTTTGAGGCCACAAGTCACCATCCGGATTCCGAAAATATTCGCGTCAACGAACGGTTGCCTGCACGCGAGGATTTACCACAACTTCGATCGCCCCTTGGCCTGATCAGCTACTACAGCGCCTTCCTACCATTGCTGCGTGATTTAACAGCACCGTCCAACCGTATGCTGTAGAAGGATTTTCCATGATGCTGCTGCGAATGCATTGCTGTGGAAAGGTCCTTGTCGAGCTGAAGTCGATGCTGTGTTCAGAGCTGTTATTCACGCACTTTGACCCGACAGTGAGGATCGTAGTTGCCGCAGGCACCTCCAATAATTGCATTGGTGCCGTCATTTCGCATACTTTATCCAGACGGGTCCGAAAAGGCGATTATGCACGCAATAATAACCTTAACCGC